ACTGCCATTGCATCTCAGAGAGGTTTATCTCAGACCTAAGATTCAGCCAGTTACAAGGTCCACTATTTCTGTCCTGCAGAATCCACCACTACAACTGTTACCACATCTAGTGTCTCAAGTACCATCTAAAATACCAACTACAAAAAATTAAAGCTGAAAAGCTGTCATCTTCCTGCTACCAAGACAGTCATTTTACTAGCTTTACTGAACTGCACCCAGACTATTTCCCTGCTTAATAAAACAAATCCATACCTGACCACACCAGACTATAGTTTGAATGCAGCTCATTCTCATGAGCCTTATATTACAGCAGTAATTAGTAAGTGAAGCACGGGACTTGCATTACAGTTCACGTCACAGTCACTCAAACAGCAGCAAGAGAAAATATCCATTTTTAAGCATGTGTTAAAAAGCCTTGGATCAGGTGAGGTTCACCACTGTGGGCAATCTGCATGCTTGCATGCTCCACAGAGCATGTACGTATTCAATCATTCCTCAAATAATTCCTTGTGCAGTCTGCACAGAGACCTCATTGCCTCTTCAGCAGAGAGCACCTGATCCAGTTGGTTTGGATGAGTGACCATTCCAGTGTGCAGCTAGGGTGAAGAAAACATATTGCTATTTGGAATCAAAAATTGAAGTCCCATCAAGCAATACAGATATATCCACCCTCCTTAACAACAAGACAAACCTTTTGCTCTCTGAATCAATATGACTAGCATTAGTAGCTTCACTGGCTGAAGTAGCATTAATAGTAGATGCTGAAAAGTGGCTAGACTTCATAAATAATATTACCAGTATTTGACAGTGCAATGAATCATGAAAATGTAACTCATGCACTAAAGTGTAATCAGTCTCAGTCCTACAGAGCTTCTATCAAGTCTATCAACAGGGTACCGAAAGTCATTTATTGGTTCTGCATTTCCTGTGCTGTAATATCTCACTGTTACAGATTTGATTTCTGTTACACACAGTGCTACAGATAAGTTGTGGCAGATAAAGGGGTAGGGACATCCTACACATTCTGTACTCAAAAACACAAGGCCTGCTCCAATGGTAACAGTGAATGTTAGTGGTACAGCAGTAGGGGCTGAACCTTCCCTCAGAATTCCATTACCTTTGCCTTTGGTTGTTGGGGGACAGACAGCAGCAGAGGGGCACTGACAAAATGGCGTCTGACACAAATGTGGATAAAGCAAAGGGGTGAAGTGAATTCCTCCACAGGGAGAAAATGGCACCCACTGACACCCACTGGTGCTTGCTGACCATTTATGAAGACCAAACAGTGGATGTGAGTGCAGCGAGGCAGTGAGCGGTGCATTTCAGCAGTGCTGGCAGTGGGTCACCTATGCTGATGGCAGATTTTTACCAGCACAGCATGCAGGCTACTGTTCATCACATGCAAAAATGCACAACCAAGGGTAGCAATGACATTGAAAAATAGTACTTTGTAGTTGAGAATTTGCTCTATCAAATAATGTTATTGTGCTGTGTAGCTGTTGTCATCTCCATGGAAATAAATAGAAGGAATTACTTTCTGGAGCAATCTATATAATGAAGTACACAGAAGAAAGATCTTGAGAGCAGTCAATACAACTACATCTAAAAGTTAAGTGTGACACGTACAGCTACCAGATAATCCAGAGGGATGGCTAGAATGCTGAACTTCAAAAATACTAAAACATATTGATGCTGTGTCTGGAAGATGAAAAGAAAAAGATGATCAGTGATAGTAAAATTGAAGGAGAGAAACTAAAAATTCATGTTTAAAATACTAACAAGAATGGTGCTCGTACTTCAGTTTCAAGTATGTAAGCTAGCTAGGGCATGCAGGAAAAGGATAAGTGAAAACAATACAGAATCACAGAGCAGACCAGAGATACTGGGCCACTCAAATGAAGACGTGGCTTGTCTCCAACAGAACCTGCACCACAAACTATAACAATATTGAGGAAACCAAACTAGCTGGAATTGGAAGCAGTGGCCCACCCCTGGTGGTGTTAATTAAGTACAGAATCATAGAATGGCCTGGGTTGAAAAAGACCTCAAAGATCATCTAAGACTAATTTATGGCATTTTTCTCAGTAATATGAAGTAGCCCTTACAGAACTGGTATGCTACCATGGCTCAGTAGCCTTTGGTACTTGTTTTAAACTAGCTAGTGTAGTTAACACTGCAGACTGCTGTCCTGAGCTAAACAGGATTCAACAGAAACAACTAGAAAAATTACCCACTGAATCTTCTAGAAGGAAAAGCTGCTATTCCACGTCGCTCACACAAGTTTTTACTTTTTGCTTGGATGGGCAAGGAGCTGTTTCGCCTTTTGTGCTGTTCATTAAGACAATAAAAACAATACTGCAAAACACTGCCTTGAACACTGACAGTAGCCTGAGTTTCATTATGTTGTAACTTCATTTGAAGAGTCACAAAACAAGAAAAGCCTGTACTGTGAGAAAAACTATTTAGCAGAGTATTACTTGACAGATTGGCTTATGTTACTGAGACCTTCCTACTGTTCTTTAATAGTAAGGTAGTTTTTCTCAACAGTGAAAAAAGCACTTAATATCTCATTGCAGTGTGGATCGTCAGTCAGGTGAAGAAAACACTGGGATTCAAACCTTGCATAGGCTGTTGAGCAACGAGTGAAGCAGAAAAGGCATACCACTGCACCAACTTGCTGAAACTCTCTAATAGCACTCCTTTTCCCACAGGACAGAAATGTAGCTTGTCATTTTTTGCAGCACATGAATAGTTTGCTAAGAGCAGAGTTTTAATAAGAGTAGCAGACACCATGGATTCAACATAGGTAAGAACTCAGCCAGAAGACAAGCAATTCAAGAAACTTTTCTCAGATACATTCCTGACACCAGCAACAAGTAGCCCAGTGTATCAAGAGACATTTCAGTATCAGTTTAACATATTCAAAAAGAGCAGTTTCTCTCTCTGTATATGCACACCCAAACAGTGTTTTTCTTCCACAAAGTTAATTGCCAAACAAGCTGCAATTACTATTGCAATAGGTATACAGAACAGTACTTCCATGAATAACTGCAACACACACCTGAGCTTTTTGTCTAAAATGCACAGGAACAGCAACTCCTTAGCAAGAAGAACAAGTACTTCTATTGCTGACAGCTTTTAATGGGACACCTATGCAGGAACTAAAGCTGGATAAACCTCACCTTTGCTTTCAGTCTTTAATATTGAAGTCCTTCAGTACAGGACTCAGGATTAAGTTTTTCTTTAGGGTTATACATGGACCAAAGTTAGAGTTTCAGAAGCCTGCCAGATCAGTTTGCAGTCCTGGAGTTGTAAGCAAAATGGATTTATTGCCAATCCAAAACTTGTAACAGTATGGTTATATTTAACAGTAATTGAGCTGAAATATACCAGTTACAAATACTTGACCTCTCTGGCTTTTAATTACCTTCAGAATTCAGCAAGTCTACACCAGTAGAAGTGATGGCAGAAGGTATGGTGACAAAACAATCATATTTCAATCCCTAAATGAGAACTTGTACTATTCCTTCTTACTCAAGTGTGAATCCTGCTGTTTGTACTAATGAGCAGAAAGCAACCCAAGTAAATCTACAACACATGATCACTCAAAAACCACGAGAAGTAAAACCAGTCAGCTCCTACATCTCTTTTCATATCTGACTACTATGGAGACAGCACTTATTCCCAGTTTGAGGCAGTCAGACAAGACATTGTGTATAGAATGCTGACAAATCATGCAAAAATGCCACTAATTTTCAACAACAAATTTACACAGTTATAAGTTGTATTGGGTTAGTTCAGCCCTTTATGCCAGTAAGGTGTAAAACATTTATTGATTAGATTTTAAAAGAAGTTTCTACATTTCAGCATGAGTTTTATTTTATGAAACATGCAGAGGCCTCCCTGATCTACAAGCAGGTATTTGGTGCTATGCAGTCAAGTCACCTGTAGTACAAATCCATGTCTTCCAGCAAGATTAACAAGTACGTGCACTGTAGCAGAAATCTTTCCATAATTACACTGACTTCAAAGAAGTACCTGCAGGCTGCTGGCTGCAGAGCTTATACGTGCCTCACAGCTAGTAAAAGCTGACCTCTTTTTGAAGTATTCTTACCTTTGTTTTGTGCAATACAAACCTGTTTTTAAAATCTGTCCTGGTCTAGTTCTTAAGTGTTAAGGTTAAGTTTCATTACTCTGAGATTCTGCCAAGTGTATATAATGTATGTAATACAACATGATGCACATAATCCTTAAATTCATCCTCTCTACTAACAGTGGATTCTGTTAGCAGGCTTATTTCCCACATCCATGACATTCAATACCAGTGTCCCAAGAGGCCTTTCAGGTTATTAACGCACATACAATTCTAAGAGCACATCATCTGCAGCCCATGTTTAGAAATTAACACAGAAGTCCACAAGTGTACTTTTGCAATAGTGAAACAACAGGAAGAAAGTCGTTGGTCTTAGCAGACCACACATTAGATTTGCCCTTTCTTGACTGGCATTTCTTTGGGTGTCTGAGAACACTACAATCAATGTGCTGCAATCAATGTGGCTGAACAAATCTATTTTGCATAATAAAGAGCATGAGAAAAAGCAGTAGAAGTTCTGAACATCGCCGTCTTCTGCAGAAGTAACTGAAGCCTTTGAAAACAGAGCAGTGACAAAGTATCTGAATAACACAGGACAGATTAACATGTAATTAAAATACAACAGTATTGATCTCCAACTGTTGAGAAATCACATATTCTTCCCTAATCGTGCTCACAAGGTGCTAACTTTCCACTAAGTTTAGCAAAGTTTGTTCTGCTGTTTCCTAAGTACCGCATCAGATAAACTGAACACATCTGATATAAACACAAGCTCCCACCAAATCTTAAGTGAATTCACTTAAATCTCTATTTAAAACAGCTGCTTTCATACATTAAAGCTAACAGCACTCACAGACTCCATTTGAACCAATACACTGGAATCTTAAATAGAAAAACCAGACAGTTATAGGGCGGATATACAGAGATTTATTTAATCAGGTTTACTATTTACAGTTGAGATCACTTTCACATACTACTTTGCTACTCTACATGGCTACGTTATTTCCAAACCAGTTTAAGAGCTACACTCTAACAGTTCACTCAACACATAAAACCGCTCCTCATAGAAAAATGAAATATTTCATTATAGAACAGTAGTGCATACATTATACTCCTGAAAAGCCAGCTTGTATTTTAAAACACTAATGCTTGAAAGGTTTGATCTCTGAAGGTCGAAACTGCAGTCGCATGATCCTAAGATTTTGGTTAGTTTTTGTTTTACTATTTATATATAAAGAGTACTGGACTTCACTTAAGTGTTTTTAAAAAGTGACACTGGTGAGGGGCAAGACTAAAATACTTCTCAAATTAAATACAGCTGGCTTCCTTTGTACAGCTTTGGCCAAAAAAGTTCCATGTAGTGAAGGTTTAACAAATTCTCTCTCTATGCAAGAATCAGTCAGTTAATGCTTAGAGGTAATCTACCAAAGTAGGCACACATCCTTTGACTTCCACATCAGCCAATTTACACTTAACTTGCAAATAGTTTTGAAATCAGGAAGTTTACTAGTATACTAAAACATTTAGATACATGAATTGCTGGCTAGAACAGTGAAAGTCACAGGTATATATGGGTGTGTGTAAAGCTGAGTTGCTTTGCCCGTCACCAGTGTACAGTACAGCTCTCCTCATCTGTGTAAGGTGTGCTCTGACTAAGCTTAGGACAAGCAAACTATTGCAGTAGACCTGGCCCATTCACCTTCCACAAAGCGAGATAAGATTGAACCACGTTGTTCACATTGTCTTCTAGGCATAGGTTCCACCAGTGATGAGAAGTTCGTAAGCAGGATCCCGACTCCTTCTACACAATACTATACAGGCACACAACATGCCCAGAAGCTATGGAGGAAAAAGAGAAAACAAGCTGAGTACGAAGAAAAGGCTTTAACTTCTTCAGTCTTCACAGAAACTGCCAGCACGCTCTGTGAGGCTGTGGCTGCCCATAACAAAGACAGCAACAAATGCTTGAAAAAGCTTCTCTCTCTGCTGCAAAAAGCAAAGGCCAAACACTTCTATCTGCTTGCAAGATCACAGACATCTTTAACAGAAGTTCTTTTGGTCAGCCACATTTACGCTGCCACAAAAATTCTGATGGAAGAAATTACTCATTTTCTCCTGAAAGATATAGGTTTAGATGGTGCATGTATTATGAAAGCTCATCATTCAAATGCATTAGCACCAATCGCTGTGATGAAAGAGAACAAAACCAGGAGCTTTATAAAACTACACTACCTTATTTCAGATGCTCCATCTATTAACATTTCATGCTAGAAAGCTCAAGGCCAAAATTAATTACTCACTGTTAGACAGCTTCCTGTCATTCAATTTTACTGCAGTGCTGTGACTACACTGGCAGAAGTTCATCAGGAATTAAGGGTATGATTGCTGTGTATACATTTAAAAGACTTAACTAAATATGATCAGGAATATTTTACAGAAGTGAGCTATTATTTGAAAGATTTTTTTTAGCAGGTACAGTCTTTTTAAGTTTAATGATGGTCTTCAGGACAAGAGCTGCCAATGGAGTAAGATTGTCTTGATTTGTTCACATGCATACAGGGAAAAATTCTATTCACAGATGTAAATATTCAAGGTGATCCTGTCATAGCTCTGGATTATAAAGCATCACCCCAGGAGGTTACTTAAAAAGAGACTTTAACAGAAAGTAAAAAAATTCAGGTGGTCAACGACCTAACAACCACAAAGCATGATGTTGTGTGAGAAATCAGTACAATGGAAGGAGGTTGTTTTCTTTAAGTCAGTCTGATGAAAATGTCAAATGCATAAAAAAGTTTTTGAAGCCAAAGCTTAACTGGTACATGCAACCTAGTTAAGTTTGATGAAAGATCAAAGAGAAAAGAGTTTCAAAAGTGTTAAGTCTAAATAAACAGTGATTAAAAAGAAGCATGCATGATGAAGCTGTAGTGCAAGTTTTGTATTTCCTGGGAAGGAACAAGATATAAAGACTTAAAATATTCTTTGTCTGTAGTTTATTCTCTGCTTTGGAGCCATAGCCAAATTCAGCTTTGGACCAGAAAAAGCACATTGAGAGTAAGCTCAAGTATGGCAGCTCAGCCTGTCTGTTGGTGTACTTCACGCTTCCCTCACTTTCTATCAGTACTCAGGTAGTTCCTGTCCAAAGCTCACTCCTAGTAGGGCATTATCTTGTGTCAGAGTAAGGGGAAAAACTGAGTTACATGACAGAATGGCTCTTCATGGGAAAGCACCCTTCCACATTCGCAATTAAAAAAAGAAGGCAAGCTCAACTTAGACTCATGACATGGAGCTTTGTGGTAAATGCCAGTGGCTATGGAACTCTGAAGGCTTGCAGGCAGCAAGCACAAAAACTGCATTCTTTCCTCTGTTGAAAACAAAGATAAGATGAAGCGTGCTAGGCAGAAACATTCCTTTCATTGTGTGCTTTTTTTTTTGTCCATAAATCATGCTAGCTATGTGTTTCAAACATAAGTAGTTCTATCACTTCTGCAGGTATTCACACAGAGAATCCTGGTTGACTGACTCAAGTTACTCAGTTTATATAGATGTATAAAACCTGAAAAATCAAAAGTCGAGCTACGTAATAAGAATAATAAATTTGAGTCATTATTTAAACCAGGCAAATGCTTTAGGGGGTGAATAGGAAGTGTATTCCTGTAAGTTACTGTAAGCACAGAATTAACTTCCACATTTCACATTTCTTGACAGAAACAATTTAGCACGTAATTTTTGAAAAATAAGCCAGCATCTCTGAAGCGTTCTGAAGTTTTAAGGCATTTAATTCTGTTTCTCTTCAATTGCTAATCAATACTGTGAACAAAAGTCTGCTGAAGAACAATACATACATCTTATAAAGCTTGAACAGCATTCAGAAATATTTCAACATCTCCCACAGACAGATTTTGGTTTTTTCCCCTTCTTTAATTTGCCTACCAGTATTAACTATTCCCAATCTCCTTTCATCAAACCAATTAGCCTATTTTTGGTCCTGCTAAAAACCTAACTGACTGTACAGATACGCCATGTTTAGTATTTCAGATGATCATTTACTAAAGAAGATATCTAAGAATGAACTCTCACAGCTAATCAAGCAGCACTTAACCCACTGCAATGCCTCTGCTCCCTTCATTTTGCCTCTGATTTATTAATAGTTCAGTGCTGTCACTGTAGTTGATACCAAGGAATTATCACACCCTTCCTGATCCCCATGGTAACTGGAAAATGAAGACACTAAAAATTAATTCTATGCAGAAAAGATTAAGTCTTCCCACAAACCAAAATCCTTAAGAAAGTTCTTTTCTCTTCTCAGTCTTTCCATTTTAAAGGAGGCAGTGAAGGCTAAATTTGCTGACTTAAAGCTACGAGGTAAGCTTTGAACAGTCTTATTGCTTTACAGAATAGAAATATGTTCAGAGAGGACACTATTCAGTGCTTATAGCAATGAGAATAGAATTGGCCAAAAGGAAAAACACCAAACCCAAACAGATTACTATTCCTCTACAGAACACGGCATAGGTTACAGGCCATCCACTGAAGTTCTCATTCTTATCTGCATTTCAATTGTCCTGCAGACTGTTTTGCTGAGAACTGGCTAAATGCATACTTTAATTCTGTATTTCAAATAGGACAATGCCACAACTCACATCTTCTGTTTTGAGAAGCAATTCAAATAGTTTCAACGTGCTTTAGTACTAACTTGTTTCCAAAAGATTTAAGTTCCAATCATGCCAACTCGTCAAAATTTGAACTGTAGAAAAAAATATAAAAATCTGACCTCTGACAGATTTAAGTGTGATAACCACACAGTGAATACTATTAGACTTCAAAGGTATTCCCAACAGCCTGCATTCAGGCTGTCCAGAAAGTAATGTGCCCTGTTTTATTATACTGGCCCAAAGGCAGATGATGATGGAACAGCAGTAGAGGGTGAACATGCCCACCAATATTCTGTTCCATGTTGTTGTCATTAACAACACTGGGTCACATCCATTGGTGCATGTTTTCACAAGCACAGCATGCAGGCTACTTACTGTTCATCACTGGCAAAAACACATAGCAAATGGTAGCTGGACAAATGGTAGACAGTGTTGAAAAACACTGTTTTGTAGCTTAGAATTTGCTCTACCAAACAGTGTTATTGTGCTCTTTGTATCTGCTGCAGTTTCAGTGAGACATTAATGAGATGGGAGACGTTACTTTCAGAACAACCTACGTAGATTTATTTTTTAACTTTTCTAAACAGGTGTCACAGATTGTGACACACAGCTTTACTACAGCACCAGCAAAGAAATTTGTCAGATGTTCTTTTCTTTCAAGCTGTTTAGATATGTACTTTCTGCCAATTGCTTGGTTACTGACACAGAGACAAACTAAAGCATCCACTGCAAAAGGAATACAACCAACATGCTTGCAGAGAATGGATTAGCCAGGAAGAACAGAAGGATGCAAGTAGTCACATTTGCATTTCAAGTGTGTGGTAGGAACTCTGGCCCAATCCCAACAGAGAGGAATTATAGTAGTTATAACAGCATATCGGAGTGGACCTGTTAATCAACCTGCAAACTCCAACATTCTGAATGCCTCCTCTCTATTCAGCTCACCCAGTCTCATTTTCTACAACATAAAAATCTGCCAGGTTAACTATCGCTGTGGAAATACCTACATTTTAATTACAGAAATGTATTTCAGTATTTGAGCTGACTAAATATTGCTTTAGGAGGTAAAAATTAAGAACAGCAATTAAAAATATCTTTCTTCAGCACACTGAGCACTGAACTCAAATTTTACGTTTCGTATCTGAAGTAATCTGGTCCTGGACAGTTCAACAGCAGTACTGAATACACTGCTACCTGTGAGTACAGCCTAATAGAACAGAAATAGAAATAGAATTATTCTCTCAAACTGTTTTGAAAAGATGATTTGCTCATCTTGAAAACACACAATCCAGCTCAAAAGCTGGTTCTGAAAAATGGAAGTGCTTAAGCTTCCCAATTCAGCAGAAATAATGTTTTCCATATTCAAATGCTTTTTAAAGAGTACAAAAGTAATTGAAAAGTAGTTCTCAAATCTCTTGGGATTCAGCATACGTAGTACATTTCTCATAGACCATAAAATTGCCACAAACTGAAATGGATTAATGCACTAAGCCTGCCTGATTGATCAATTTTACAGGAGTGTTTAAAAGACAAACAGTTCTGTGGCTTTCCTGTGTTTTTTTAATCTTAGTAAATACTGAGATACTGTTTCCCCGGTTACTTTCAACGACCACGGGAAATACACCAATTAGAATTCCTATGGAAGACAGCCTGCACTCAACCTGGTCTCTGCATTAGAACCCCTTTTTTGGTTCAAGTCCAGCAATCAGGACACTTTCAAGAAAACACAGAATTCTACCGAACAAGAGCAGATAATGCTATCAGAAACCTTGCTGCGTTTTGTGGGCGGCCTCAACATCATATGCATGCCATGAAGCATACACTGCTGTATCTCTAAAATGGCATGAAGTATGAGCCATCTGTCTCAAAGCTGTAAATTAAATATGCAAATTTTTATTTCCAGTCTCAAATGCCTTCAGAGCACATTCATGGAGATAGATACCTGATGCTTAAGATAATTAGTTTCAAGAGTAATTTATCACCTACATTCTAGTTGATTATTGCACATAACAGACTTTTCAGCTATTCTGAAATCTAACAGAACACACATTCCCGTTTGCAGCAGATTTTAGACCACACTTAATTAAGAAGTTTTGTCTTGAGGTATTTTCATCATTTTGACTGAGGTTCATTTCTCTCTCAATCCAAGTACAAACTAAAGTTGTCAGCATCCTGCACATACTCTAATAGCCTGGACAGCAGTTTAGAACACCATTTGAGTTTACAGACAAAGAACATTCTCTTACCTGAATAGCAGCAAATGCTAGTGCTGCCCAGATGACATACATCATTATCTCTTGAAGCTTCTTTACAACCAGAGCCTCACAGCCCTGAAACAAAAAGGCTTGTTATATATCCCTCTGGCAACCACACCAAAAAATCCCCATAAACATCAAATAAGGCAGAAAGAACAACAACAAAAAAAGTTTTTCTTTAGAAGCCACGTTTACTTTCTGTTATTAACTTTCATGCTTGATTTGATATTTATACCAAAAAGAAAATTAAATGATTGTCACCAAAAGCTCATCCCTAGGCTCATACCTGAGCTGTCTTACCTCAGAATAAAGGTCCATTGGACGGGTCAAACTGCCAGTACAATTGCTGAGAGTTGCTTTGCAACAGCTAAGAGGCACACTGTTGTTCTTAGTTTGTTTAAACCAGACAGTATTCTCCCAGTCTGTGTAGTTATGGATCCCACAACAGCGCAGCTGAAAAACACACAGGTGAAGAGCTACGTGTTAACCAGTCATCAAACTGAACGAGACAGAAGTCTTAGCTGTAATACCAAAAGCACAAACATGACAAGGTTAGGTTGTTTTGTTACTTAAGTAACACAAATTATATGACAGTGTTATCTAAGCAAATCATAGACTGAATGGATAGTTAAATGGCATACAGCCCAAAATCATTTAATATTTCACACATCTGGCCATCTCACCTGCCTCTGTACATAGTCAATAGCACGACTGGCTGCATCAGGATTTGTCCCATTGTATCCATTGTATACCTTCTGAATGCTATGATCAACTTCATCTTCCACCTGTGAAGCATAAGCAAAGCATTAGCACACCAATGGAAGTAGTACAGCTCTAGGAAAATAAGTTCACTTTTAAGTATAAAAGTGAGAAAACCACGATAATTCCCTAACATATCAAGTGCACTTTGATGGTACAGCTTATTAAAATTCTGACCTGTCTTTGGCAAGTACATTACTAACCTAAAGCTAATGGCCAAGGAAAAACAAGAAGCTACATTCAGTAAGATGTTAGACAAAGAAGCTTAGTGACCCATCTCAGAAAAGAAACTGCCTTTACTGTAACACCGTAGCACAACTCACAGTATCAGACAATATCATGGAATTAAGAACTCTCTAAAAGAGCAAGTATGCACCTTTCCACTTTCTACTCACTTTCAAAGTTCCAAAGCAAAATCAGTAGAGCCACTCAGACTAACTCATTTTGTTTGGGACCACCAGGATAACACTAAGCCATGGGAACTGCTGAATCACAGCCCGAACCTCTGATTGACCACCTGAGGCAAATAAGAGTCAGCCACAGGAACACAGGCGAAGGCAATTCACCAGTGCTACCGGAAGGATGGAGCCTGGCTGCATCTCTCCTAGATCCCATTCAAGTGCTGACTGCCACTGAGGAAGGATCTCTACCTGGAGATTGCTCCTCATGAAATTTATTGAGAGCCTACAACATCAGTGAGCATTTTTCATTTATTATCTTTCCACCTGATAATCCTTAACCTAACCTGTGTACGCCAATTGATTTTACACCTCCGCACACTTTTTGATTGTACACCCATTCTGACCAGAGAGGGCAAAGTACCAAAGATGAGGTATTTTGATTGACTACTCTACCCTACACTGATCTAACTTTCTATAAAATCCACCTCCCCCATGCTTTCTGAGAAATGTTGATGGCTGTACAAGGTACATGGCAACAGCTACTGGAATAGCTTAAGCTACTGCAGATGAGTCAAGCTGCTAAAGATGCTGTTCAGTACTTGTGTTAAAAAATGGATGCCACTCAAAAATCATTACTTGTCCTGCAAAAGATGTCCAACATTCACTCTGTAGGAAGTCTTGCCAGAATCTTTGAGTAGTACAATTCTATAAATTGTTATGTAAAAGCACACAAAGTTTGGTCTTTTTCAACTTTGGTACTGAAGTAAGTTTAAAAAAAGAAATCAGTTCAGGATAACCACTTTCAGAAGGAATTATGCGCAAGGAATTTTAATTTCAGGACTGAACATGAAGCAAGCATACTCTGTAAAATTGCAAATTATTGCAGGAATATCTTGCAAACACACCATGGCAGAAAGATTCAGGTTGTTTAACTGCTTTACGTGAAGGATTTTCTGCAGCAATTGCACAAGCTTATTGTCCCCTTCCAAGAATACTGGTTATTTTCACAAGTAGGTCTGTGTTAAGACAGATATAAACTAAATACAGTTTAACCTACACAGGCAACTTGTTTCAGGCTAGTTTGAAATCAGTTGTTTTCCTGTATGAATCTGTGTTCTAAACTGCATTAGTTAAATTAAACACATCCTCATTTTGTTATATAGACTAAAACAATTTTCAATAAATACTCATATGTTGTTTGACTTCTTCAGTTAGGGCAGTATGTGTGAAAAACAAAGCACAAAGCTATTAAAAAAAAAAAAAAACCAAAAAAACCCAACCTTACAGATCATCAAGTTCCAACTCCCCTGCCATGGACAGGGTTACCAACCAGGAAACCAGGCTGCGCAGAGCCCCATCCAACCTGGCCCTGAATTTCTCTCTGGGCAACCTGTTCCAGCACCTCACCACCCTCTGAATAAAAAATTTCTTCCAAACATCTAGCTTAAATGTCCTTTCTTTTAGTTTAAAGCCATTCCCTCTTATCACTAGTTGCATAAAAAAAATTGGTCTCCCTCCTGCTTAAACTCCCCCTCAAGTATTGGAAGGACACACTGGGGTCTCCCCAGAGCCTTCTCCAGGCTAAACAGCCTCAGCTCCCCCAGCCTTTCTTCACAGGAGAGGTACCCCAGCCTCTTCAGGACCCACTCCAACAGCTCCACATCCCACTTGTGCCGGAGGTCCCAGGCCTGCACACAGCACTCCACATGGGGCCTCCAGATGAAGGTAGAGCACAGGAAAACAAACCTCTCCCTTGCTCTGCTGGCCACTCATTTTGTGATGCAGCCCAAGGCACTGCTGGCCTTCTGGGCTGCAGGAGCACACTGCTGGCTCATGCTTTACACCTCCCGGAACCCTCAAATCCTTCTCAGCAGATCTGCTCTCAAGGAGTTCTTCTCCCAGTCTGTACTCATATCTGTGACTGGAATGACTCAAGTGTAACACCCTGTACTAGGCACTGTTGAACATATTCACATGGGCCCACTGAATGGCATCCCCTCCTCCTGTTGTGTCAAATGCACTGCTCAGCATCATCAGCAAACTTCCTGAGTGTGCATTTGATCCCACTATGTCATTGATGAAGATGCTGAAGAGCACAAGTACTACAGACCCCTAGGGAATATCACTTGTGACTGGCCTCCAAACGGACACAGAGCCACTGATCACAACCCTCTGGCTGCAACCATTTAATTAACTTTTTATCCACCAAACAGTCCAGCCTTAAAACCCGTATTTCTCCAATCTAGAGTAAGGAAGTGATGCAGGAACACGTCAAACACTTTGCACAAGACTAAGCAGACAACATCAGTTGCCCTTCCTTCATCCACTGACACTGTCATTCCTCCACAGAGGGCCACTAGACTGGTTGGGCACAATCTCAGTGAAGCCATGTTGGCTACCACAGCCTCCTTATCTCACATGTGTCTTAATACCTTCCTTTCTTAAAAATGGGAGTTATGTCCCCCTTGTTCCAGTCATCAGGGACTTTGCCTGCAGCTTTTCTAACCTGATGGAGAGTGGCCCGGTAACCAAACCAGCCAGTTCCTTCAGAACCCTGAAATGCATGTCATCTGGCACCACAGACTTGTGCACATTCAGCCTCATGACTTGCACGACCCTCTCAGACTTGCTCTGCTCTTACATTGGGATGGATTTCAGTCCCCTGATCCCTACCTACAGGTTTCAGAGACATGAGTAGCATGGGAAGCCTGACTGCCAGTGAAGACTGAGGCAAAGGATATGCTGAGTACCTCAGCCTTCTACACGTCTGATGAAGCCAGTTCTCCCTTCTCATTTACCAGACGTTGTACCTTCTGCTTTGTCTGTCTCTTCTGACTCATGTATCTAAAGGTACTCATGTATCTATCTTTTGTCATATTTTGCATCCCTCGCCAAGCTCAGTTCCATCTCTGCCTTGGCTTTCCTGATCCCATCTCTGCATGTCTGAACAGTAACTAATTGGAAAAAAGTAATAAAAAACAATCAAATCTAGGCAGTTTTCACCTCCCAATTTCACTTATAATAGGTATGACACTCCTCCTGCCCCTGAGAACAAGTTTAAAACAGTAAATACCAAAGGGTAGTAGAGAACAGCCATTTCTTACTAACAGTAACTTTGTCTGCCCTTTGAAAAGATTCAAAATTTAGTTTTCAAATACTGACTCCTGCAAGTCAGCTAGGTAGCATAAGGCCATGCTGTCACTAAGAAGATGCTCCATTCCCTTCTTTCTCCCAAGCTCTGACCCTTCATTACTGCTTGTGAAGCTGTGCAGCGGCAAGACAAAGGAACATAGGAGTTGGGACCAATCCAATTTTCAGGCAATTCAAGTGTGTAATTTCAGACAGGCTACAGAAGACAGATGCATGCATCTTTTATCTGTCCTGATATCTGTCCTGAATGCTGTTAACCAGAAAGCAGCAAACCACTTTTACACTGGAACTTAGAATGACTGCAGCTTAGCCTAGACCAGATACATGGTAATTTCTGAAAGACCACAATGTTACATGCTACATTTCTGCATAAATCTGAGCAAAAAGCAACTGTTCAATTTACTGCATATGAATCCAACAGGTTTCCCATTCTCGGGAAGTACACAGCTTTCCTCAATTGCTTCTAGGGACCACTTGCACTACAAGCTAGAGTCCCACCTGATCAACTGACCTTTCAGTGCACCGCCAAAGATACCAGAAATATGATGTACACTGAGGTAATTGATAATGTTAAGCTGTTATCAATAAGTTTGAGACACTGCTGTTCTAAATTTTAAGATATCAATCTCCAATTAGCACACTGAATGAATATCCACTGACGGTTTTACAGAACCAATTACAGCAAAGCCTGCATCTCAGTATTTTGATCACAGTTCACAGTAAAATATTTACTGAAATTTAAAGGCTATTACCTTTGCTCTGTAGATGTATCCAAGAACCACCACCACAACTTCGGTAATGAAAACCAGGAGCAGGATGATCACAAACTGTAAAACACAGTTCAGAGAATTTGCGCAAACTTTTCCACAATTGACTATCTGAAAGTCTTAGAACAGGCTTTGATTTATTATGAAGTTATTCCTCAGGTTTCAACTTTGCAAATTACCTAAAGCAGGCAAGTAAGTTGATCAAGCGAGTCCTGAGGTGACTCAAGTTTTAGAGCTTATAGTTGTACCAGGTAACGAGAATTAGAAACACCCAGTCAGGTAACTGCTGATCATTTGGACTGAAAAGCCACACTGAAGTGTTTTAATGAAACACCCTTTTATTAGGCAAATATTACAGCCACACAACAAAGAAGCTACCCAGGCTATTCCTAAAACTGGTAGAGAGACTAAGGGAACGTTTTTTCAGATCAAGTCTTGAAACAAAAACAGTAACAATCTATGCATTTGTATAAGCATACTTTTCAGCATTCAATTAAGTCTACACAGCATCCAACAGCAGCAAAGTGGGGATGATTTGAATACTGGCCTAACTTAAATCCTACCTAATTCTCAAGCTAGAGTTATATTTAAAACACTTAAAAAGATAAATTCCTGGAAACTAAGTGTCCAAATTAAGCCATACAAAGAACACTTAAGCATCACAATCATTCCCAGTCAGCCTCAGTGCTGTATGTTTAACACAAGAAGGCACCTGTCTCACCTTTCTCCCTATCCTATTCCAGCTTTTCAATCAGAAAACATAACACAGATTTAACTTGTTCTGACTTAATTGTAAGGAGGCAATTTAAAAAAAAAGAAAGATCACAGCTCTGAAATGTGAAACACAAAGACTCTGCTGCTGCCTGAACAGGCAAACTAACACCGTTATTTAGAACAGAAATCCAACATAGGAACAAAACTAACAAGATTTCAGGCTATAAGGCAAGATAAGAGGAAATATTCAAAAAACATGCATTTTGAAAATCTATTAAAAGGACAAAGGCCAGATACACAGCAAGGGAGCACCACCACACAGCAGCTTTGCAACTTACCGTAGCGAGTCCACAGCGGCTTTCGCGAATTGTGGCACAGCATCCAATCAGCCCAATAATAAAAAGCAGCGTTCCCACAGCTATGATAATAACTGCTGGAATGAGCGTGTAGACATCTTCAAAGAAGTGATCATAGTCGTCATATGTGATGAACACATAGGCTCCCACGTAGCACAGTATGCCTGCTGCTGCCTACAAGAGACAGTAACATTTCAGCTTCTTTGAACACCAAACTCCCATCTGCGAGACCACTGTGTAACAATTATTGTCATCAAGCACTACAAAGTAGTGCCCTTCAGAAATACCTATTTTCATTATTTGACTCATCTTTGTTAGACCACAGTGTATGTTTGTCTGGAATATCTCAGAGGCTCGCTTCCCAGTTACACTTAATCTAGATGGTTCTAGTTCTAACTATGCTCAATAGTCTCCTAAGGAACACAGTTAAGAAGCGAGGGTAACCATACTATGAACACCAAGAACTTGCTTCCTTCTCAGACACATTCCCTCCTGTGCTGCTTTGCTTTCTACATTCAAACTGCATACTCCTGATAAATGGATTGCAGACCACTTTCAGAGCCAGTTTATTAGCAATTGAACTGCTATTCAGAATAAGTATTTGGTTTTTAACTACCATCAGTTAACTACTTTGTTCATTTTGCTGTCTGACTACCCATGATTTGAGGTCAGAACAGAATGCACACACGTCTTGTGAACTAATTTCTCCTAGAGACAGCAGCTTTTTTGAAGCCTGAAGCACCAACTGTTGAAAGATACAGGAAAAGAGCCATTTTCCTAAGGGTCACTGTATTAAGTTGTTCTTTTCTTAGATGTGGGGGGTAGAAAACAAATCACTTCAAGTTACCACCATCTAACAACATATGGCCTGAATCAAATAGCACCACACTCACTACAGAATAAAACCACTGCATTCAAACTTAAAATGAAGCAATTATATTCAACTGATTTGCAATGACATTCAGCATCATTCGAATGTTTCATGATACTTCCCTGGTGTCTCAGTGCCTATGAATTACATTGCTTTGCAAGGCTACACTAAAACAATCCATTCAGAAGGTGCAAAGACTAAGGCATGATTTGAGGAATTTCATTTCGCAGTGAAGGTTTGTGAAACCCCTTCCAATCCACATCTCAGGCACAGAAGTTCACTCAACAGGACCCAAGGAGGAATGCTGCAGCCGGCCCCATTCCTGCCCTCCCTTCTCACTCCTCAGAGGCTCTGTTACCACTCCTCCCCCTGCACTGTGAAACAAGAGGGCAGACAGAATGCCAACAGCTAGTGCCAGCAACTGAAGCACTATGAGACTGGGTCAGGCAATAGCAGCGCCAACGAATACTTCAGGCCAGGAGGGACCTCAGGTGATCATTTAGTCCAATTTTCTGTTGAAGGCTGGATCAACAAGGAATTCAGATCAGGCTGCTCAACAGTTTGTCCATTCTTGAAACTCTAAGGGTGGAGATTCAGCAGCCTCCTTAGGCAGCCTGTTCAGTATGGCACACAGAACAGGATTTAGAAAACTGGTGCCTATTATTTCAGCACACTTTGCTACTATCTACACTTAGTTCTGCAATACTACTGCAACTATTTTCCATAGAAACAACACTGGATAAGCACTGCTAGGATGAAGTCTCCCATTCCAAATGCCCTCTGCAGCACTTGGTTATAGAAACACTAGCTTAAAAAAAAAAAAAAAAAAAAAAGTATTAACAGCCAGCTCAAAAGTACCCCCTGTTCTGGGTGGATCTGAAGTCTGTATTCCACCTCTCTGCCTTTATTTCTGCAGTAAAGGTAAGTGTGTACTCCACAGGAATTTAAAGCATCCAGAAGCTCAGTCATCCAGTAGAAAGTATGATGTAGATACAACAGTCATGAAAGTGAAAATTAACAGTCAAAGGCCAATAGTGAGGTATCACCTCCAGACAACAAAAGCTGAGGAAAACAAGCTATAGGACACTCTCTCCTTCACACAAAACACCAAGTGCTAATCCAAGTGCAGAAATCCTGCCATGTTAGGTGCAGTGTGGCAAAACAAAGATATACAATCCCTATAGACAAAGATTCAAAGTAGTGTCACAGAGCAATGGAATTACATTAACTGTTGCCTAGCAATGAAGCATGTGAATGACAGGCCAGCGATGTCATCTCCCACCTCTAAGGACTAAAACACTTGTTAGAAATATGGTATTATGTGAGGTGGCAGAGAAAAATGGCTGCAGCTGGCATCAGGCACAGAAAATATTCAACAAAAGTGAAAGCAGAACCATTTGTGAGCCTCTTTGTCCTCCTCTGTGATGAAAATTTAAGCAGCTTCCATCTTTTCTAAGAAAAATATGGTTCATACAGGCAGACTTGAGACTCCTGGTAACTGCATGAGCATATGCATTTAAATATCTTTGAACAGAGACAGAAATCAAGCATTACAAAACTACAGATGTTAGCTTCCCATCCCTCCTTTGAGAAGCATTCACATTAGGAGAAACTCTGCCCTTTCAGTACTATGCAGGACAAGTCCAGCACATACAGCCTCAGAAATCAATGAGCACAGAGAGTGTTTTTCCTAAGGAGAACACTGCTTTGCAACTGGAAGTTCACATTTTTCATCAGGCTTCTCAGATTAAAGCAGCCTTGTCTGAAGTCCTCACTTACACCTTCTCACACGTGGTACTACAGATAGATACCAGCCACAACAACACTGGTCCTTAGGTTTTGCTTCCAAAGGTTGTAGAATGGGTGTTTCTGTGGAAAAAGCTATGGAAGTTTGGGAACATCAGAGTGGATCCCCCCACCTGCAAAGTGCACTACAATCATGAAGCAGAAACTGAAGACCCACGTCCCTCTCCCTCTCTCTGAAGACCCAATTCTCTCTACTTGAGAAGTGAGCATCTAACCAATAAAGTGTCCATGCCCTTTGCAATTATTGCTGCCTCTTCCACAGAATTATTTGCACAACTAATCTTCTGTGGAAATAAAAACTGAAAACAATGGTGCCTTCTGGAACTTTTATATTCAGATCAGTTTTAAAAGCTAAAAGACAATTTCTGAACCCCCTCCCCCCCCTCCATATTACATTTTCACATTATTTTTGAACCACTACAATTGCCCAGTTGATTGCAGCACAATGAAAACAGCAATGCTGCCCTCTTAGTTTACAGAGAAAATAATTCAAATACCTTCCTTTCCTCCACACCAGTCAAGTGATGCTTAGTGCTTCCTTCAGCATGCTTTCAACAGCAAGGGAGGTAATGCCAGGTCTTTACATCAGCATTTTCACTAGAGCTTGGTTTCATGAGCTTCTATAATTTGTTTTCCAAAAGAAGGAAATAATGCAGAAAAACTAAGATCTGTATCACAAGTAATGTCACAAGGAGGAACTAAAGTACAGTAATCCAATTCTCAATACTTATTATTCTGAAGAGCAGAAAGTAAATCCACAGAATACTGAGTTGGCTCAACTTAAGCACAAAAATGTTTAAATAAAAAGCCATCATATTGATTAATGTGTTTCTCATATCATTAAATATAAATCAAATACATGACCCGCACAAATTTCAAGTAAGTCCTTTATAAGCAGGACTGAAAGGAGAACTCTCAAACAATCTGCTCAGGGCTCTGAATAGAGATGGCAGCAGCTCCTGAATCAGTGCCAGGTCACATGCATGCTCTATGGAGATGACTGGTTATTCAGCATTCACACATCCCTTTGGAGCATTTAACTTCAGAGTACTGAACTTGATGTGGCATACTCTTGTTTTAGCATAAGTTAACCTTTAAAAGGGCTGCCAAGATAAATACAGTTGATGAGAATAGTTTGTTGAGCAAGTCTTTAACATTCAGACACCCCATTCATCAGACCAAAAATTAAGGCTATATACACCCCATATAGTTCAGAAAAGCTTGATATGATTGCTTTGGCACCAAGCTCCAAAGACTTGTTGAATAAAGAACAAGAACGCAAGTAACTGGAGGGAAAGCCAGAAGATCTACTCTGCAATGCATGCAGTGATAAAAAGCATCACAGTGTTACAAGAAAGTCTTTAAAATTTGGGGTTCCCTCCATCTTTGGAGCAGTGTAATCCAGACTCCTAAGCCAGTGCCTGCTTTCACTAAAGTCAGCTTCCACCTTCCACATGCACTGAGGAAGACAAGCCTACTTTGTTGACTCGCCCCATACCATGAAGTAGGCAGCAACAAGCACTAAGAACTTCATACTTTCAATAACCTATACACAGCAGGTTTGAAAGCTAAGACTTTTGCTGCCAAAGAGCAGCATGACTGGAAAGGAAGAGATCAACAGCACTTGCTCTGCTGATCATTTATTTACCAACAATGGAACAAGGCAGCTCTATTTACATCCTATGGCTTTCTTACACTACCATAACTTCCCTTCCTAACAGATCAATTTCCACAGAATTTTTTTTTTGTTTTTTTTCCTTTTTAACTCTTTCATTTAACTGAGCCAAACAAGAGCATTTGTTCCCATGGAATCTCCATTCTGTTCTCTATGTCAAGAAAAAGACAATCTCTGATAAAGCAAACAAAATAGTAGCTAAGCTCTATAAATACATACACACACATATATATACACATGAGAAAACATTTGCACCTGGTACCTGACTACTTAAGAACAGTATTTCACTCTGATAACGAACCCTGAATGACAACAACAAAAGTCTACTATTCCCAATCGTCACTGCTGAGTTCTGGCAGTAATACAGGCCATTCCACTGTTATGTTAGACACACTATCCTCCCCATGTGTCTATTTCCCTCCTCGTGTTAAAGCTTCAGCGAATCTTCGTTCACACTGCTTTTCTAGTCTGATGGGAATGTGTTGGTTTTTTTTAACTGCCATATTTGCTCAGAAGATCTGGGGGCTCTGAGGTTGTATCAGCTTCATTCCAAGTTTCTTCCCTCCATTTGCATATCAACATACTGATATTTTTCTACCTGTACACAGAGAACATTGGTTTACTGTCCAGCTTTGAGTCATAAACCAGTACCTTAAGAAGTGCTTCCCTCCCCCCTGCCCCCAAGTGCTTCTGTATTTGTTCTCCATCTTCCCAACACCAGGATATTCATGACCTGACTCGTGTCCGATACAGAAAGATTTCCTCCATCAGTGTTTTCTTTTTTGGCTTTCTCTATTTCAAAGTCTAGTTCTTCGGTTTTAA